CGGGCTCGTGGCTCAGTGGTTAGAGGCGTGGACTTCTAGCAAACAGGTCGCGAGTTCGAGTCTCGGGTGTGCCACACTTCAGGGTTGGGTATGACTGGCTGACGACGGCTAATAAGCCAGAAATGGCCATTCCACTCTCCCTTATCTTTGTCGGTAATATCATTCTGACTAGTGTGTCTTCTTGTGTCGTTACTGGTCGATATGAGACTGCATGAGACGGCGCATTCCCCTACTGACGAATGAGTTTTGACCAAACTAAAGTGAAGTTTTACATATTTTGGTAATAAATTCTGTCAGACTGTGCCCTACTGGAGGGTGCTAAAGCAGTTTCTAGATCTACTTTCAGCATTAGACTCTTAAAGTCCATTGTTATCCTCCTTTTGGCAACAGGTCCGTGATTATGCCCATTTACACATATAGGAAGTACAAGTCGGCGAACGTACGTTTTCGATTATTCTTCGTCGGCCCAGTACATGAACATAGGTCTAGTTTCTTACGAAGCGACCGCCAATATTCATGTGGATATTCACCTTTGACAATGCAGCCTTGGATGAAGTCAGAAACAACATTTGCTTCGGCAAGGCGGGTACTGTAATGCAAGTACTCATAACATTCGGATTTAATTAAAATTATGCTCTACGGCCGGTAGCTGGGCTCGCAACACTCGTTCTGTTGGTGGTTCATACGAAACACGAGATGCTATCAAGCCTAGAATTCTCCTCGCGTCTACTTTAACTAGATTTGTCGATCTGTTTGATTTTCCATTACGGGGGCAAAGACTCGGACAGAGATTCGGAGCACTAAAGGCCTCCTAGGAATCGACAGAGTGCTTGACAGACTTATCTGAAGCAGTCAAAAATAGTTGTACCGGTGCGGAACGGAGTTCTATGTTCGGGATATGATCCATACTCCCCAGGCACCGATCAAATAACAACTCGGTCCATCATCTCCCTCCCAGATCAATAGAAAGTAGTGGTCATATTTCCTGGCCGTAGAACACTATGATCATAAAGACAATCTCATACACCAAAGACCATATTATCGGCCGGACCTCGATTCGAGATCAGCAATACTTCCAGAGCCGACGTACTCAGGATCTCAGGTGAGGTGCCGTTGCCATGACGCGTTGTTGACAGAAAGTGACGAAACAGGACTTGTGAGAAGGCGCAGCATTGCCAGCATTCAGTATTGGCAACGACACATTCGCCCTATTCACAGCACCATTTAAATTTTGTTCGCGTGGACTGACAGCATATCTAGATCAAGCTCATTATTGTCGAGACTCGAAACCGATCTCCAGAAATGACATGAACTCAACGAACTAGTCCACTGAAAGCAACATTTTTGTTCTACTACTCTGGGTCAACCTCTGTCAGGGTAAGCCCCTGTTGTTTCATTGCCTATACACCCCTGGAGGAGTAGAAACGGTTAGGAAGAATATTCACGACGATCGGGGTGAGACTGTTAGTGAGCTGACGCCTGTTTAGTTGCGGCATTCCCCTCATCTTCGCCTACAAAGGACGAAAATAGAATGGCAATGCCTCAGTCCTGCGGGGCTGACTCGCTACGCTACACTGACCTAAATATCCTTCCAGTCAACGCCGAACTAGCAGCCCAGTAGTTCTTGAAGACTTCAGCCGACAGTGTGCCTTTTTTCGCGGATCAGTTGCGTTCAAGACGCTGGGGCAGATCTCGAGACAGACTTACCGGGAACAACGCACAGTAATGATGAAGGGGCAGATCTCACTTGACCTGTCGCACCCAGGCATACTGGGTCGAGAACCTTTGTGATCCACTCTGTCTGACGAGGTAATCTTCCATTTTTTGATGCGATAAGGAGGCCTTTATTAATTAGGGCATTTTGAATGACCGCAAAATATCCCGTCAGGGAGTGCCGATGAAGATAGTTTTAGGGCGTTAAGAGAGTACGAGCTTCAGTCGGCATGTGATAAGGCAGTTACACTTTCATTGGACTTGCCCAGAAGAATGCAGCCGGTTTGTGCAGCAGTCTTCCATCATTTGCGCAACACTTTCAGTGCTGACACTTAGTCATTTGTCTGTGTGGGAATTCAGAAGTTGGGCTATCATTGTCTTGCGGGGTTACAGGGCTGTTAGATCGACCCCACCACTACGCTCGTTCCGAGTTGTTTGTAACAATTGCAGTGTCACTGGAGGCAGAAGAAGACAAGGCTTCGGAAAGGTGATTTTACAATTCTTCCTTTACAATGTCATTTGTTTTAAGCGTACGCATGGACAGCGATTATACTTAAAAAACTAAATGCGGCAGGGACAGTTTCCTGTGCCCCGAGTGCCTGCTGGTAGAGGACAACTGCAAAGGCTTGTCTGTCGATGTTGTCATACATACAGACCAAAACACATCACCGTATCTTAATTGCTCGGACAACTTGATTTCCAACAGACTGACAGGGTCATCATCGTGGCAATTCAGAATGCGCGTCCCAAGACTGGTTGCCCTGCAAGTCCGCTGTACCAAGACGTGGGCCAGACTGGACCATGGTGTGTGTTTATCGGGCTGAGCTGAGGCTCCACGAGGGCATACCTACGGGTGTAATACGTGGGGCCCACGCCTTAGACGTGGGCCTCACGCCACGCCGCCAAGTGAGCTCGGCCTTCTCACCAATTGGCTGACAGGGTTGGATATTTACCTAGCACGTTTATGGAGAAAGGGCGTGGAGTACATGTTCACAGAAAAGTAGCGTACTCCTCAGTACAATAAATCTGGCATGCTTGAATCTGTCAAAACGCCCAAAGAGTCAGCTGACGGGATAACTCAGTCTTCCCCGGACTGACAGCCATGTGACAAGGAATCCTTATTGATACGGCCTTCGTGGCATTTTCACCTATGCATAGTCCGGGCTGCCCCCTACCATAGCTTCGTATACGCGAAGTGGAGACCAAGCCGTGCGTGGCACGCGCAGACGGG